TGGAATATGGAAGAATGTATTGCAAAGGGGAATGGTAAGCACTGGCATAATGAATATTTCTTTCATTTGGCGCATCATTTATATCTCCACTCGTGATTTGCATCTCTGCCTGGATGTCCGTTTGGTTTCTCAAGCTCAGGACATTGAAACTAAACTTTTTTTTTTCTCTTTAAAGTTGATCTTCCATCTGTTATCATTGATTAGTTCAGTGATATCATTGTTCATACAAATTCTGATGTTCAGACTGTTAGATTTGGTATTGATTCTTTCTTCTCCATCCTCTCCTATACCACATAAGGAGTAAGTGTTTATTTAACCAAAATAGACCAACTTTTGTCTATTCCAGCTTCTTACCAGCTTTGGAGATCCTCCCTTTTTTGCCACCATCCATATTAGCACCTACTTCCATTAATGAAATAGCCTCCTAACAGGTTTTCCAGACTTTTCTGTCTTCCTTCTCTAATCCAATCTTCATACCACTTCTAGGCTAATCTTTTTATATAGAAAAAAACAAACATATCTCCATTGACAAAGAGTAAAGTTTAAGTCCCCTTGCCTGGTATTCAAGGGCCTTCTACGATTTAGCACCACTCTATATTTTAAAATTTTATTTTATTTTGAACTTAAGCACCAAATAGAATAATTTCCATATAGAATGTCAAACAGAAAATAAAATTGTACATGAAACTGTGAATCTCTACTATATACAGCTTGCCTTTTCTTTTAAATATGCAGTAAATTCAACATATAACTTTGAAAGCTGTCCTACTTACTGATGTTTCCTTCTGACCTTACTTCAGTCCTCTCATGTGCATTTAAAAAAAAAGCTTCAATGACGCTTTCTTTTTTCAGTAGTGCATAAATGTCCCATTTTTTCCACAGCTCCTCCAACAGTTGTTTTTCCTTTTTGGGGGTCATCTTTGCTACCCTGATGGGTGTGAGACAGAATCTCAGAGTTGCCTTAATTTTAATTTGGCAAATTATTTGTGATATGTAGTATTTTTATATGGTTATTTATAGCTTGAATGTCTTTACAAAATTGCCTGCTCTATCTATTGGGAAATGGCTTTTGTTCTTAGGAATTTTAATTTTATCTTGGATATGAGACCTTCATCAGAGAAACCTGCTGTAAAGTTATTTTTCGAGTTAATCTTTTCTCATAACTTTAACTGCATTAGCTTTGTACAAAAACTTTTAAATTTTACATATTAAAAATTATCCACTTTATCCTGTTAGCTTCTTTGATCTTTCTCTGTTTATAGTTAATGAAAATTATTTCTTTCCATGTTCCTCTAATTTATGACATAACTTTTTATATTTGTTATGTATTCCTTTGCTGCCTTATCTTTCCGTCCTCATTTCATATTATCCTCTTTGCTGTAGCTAAACTGGACTGGTTCTAACCTTGCATGTGCTCTTCCCTATACCCAGAGGGCTGTCCTTTCCACACATCCCTATCTTCTACTTATCTATCCTTTGGAGTCAGTCTACCTGTTAGGCATTGTTTTAGATGTGGGAGATAATGAAGACATTCAGGTTTGAATGTTGGTAAGTCCAGTAATTTCAGCAATGTAATGTGGGATTGGGGCTCAGGAGAGAGACTAGGGTTGAATATCTAGATGTGTGGGAGTTATTTGCATAGAAATAATTTCTGGCTTGGTCCTCTTAATTTGTTTATATGTTACCATTTATATCACGTATCCATTTGGAGTTTTATCTTGGTGTGTGTTATGAGATACTGGCCTGTAACCTGATTGCTTCCAGACTTCTTTCTACTTTTCCTAGACGTTTTTCAAATAATTAGCTCTTATTGAGGTTTTTGATTTGATCAAATACCATAGTCTGCTGTGTTTGTTTCTGTGAATTATATACCTAATTAGGAAATAATATTTTGTAATTATAGTTTAAGATCTGGTATGACTAGCTTCCTTCTCACTTTTTTCCTGTCATTTCCTATGTGATTTTTGCCTTTTGTTCTTTCAGAAGAATTTTGGTAGTTGGGAATGGCATTGAATAAATAAGTTAATTTAGATAGCATTGTCACTTTTATTATCTTGGCTTAGCCTATCCAAGAGTAATTAATATTTCACCACTTATTTAGAAATCTTTGTTTCTGAGAAAAAAAAAAGATATGTAGTTGGATCTGTATAGCTCCTGGTTGAATCTTTTTAGTTTCTGAGGTTATTTTGGATGGATTTTTTATTTCTAGTTCTTCTGGCTGGATTTTGTTGGTAACTAAAGCAATGATGATGATTTATGTGGATTAATTTTTTAAACTGCAACTTTGCTGAAGTTATCTTTTTCAATTAATTTTTAGTTGACTCTTGAAATTTCTTGAGGTACACTATCATATCATCTACAAAACCCAGTAATTTTGTTTCTTTTTTGCCTATGCTTATTCCCTCAGTTTCTTTTTCTTTTTGTTATAGCTAGTATTTCCAGCAGTGAATCTCCCTCTGATGTTAGTAGCATTTCCCTTTAGCTCTTTCATTACTCTGTTTTGCACCTCTCATACAATTTATATTTCTAGATATATATGCATGTGTCTTATCCCTTACAGGACTAATTCAAATTAGTGAAATTCAGACAATTATTAAGCCCCTACCAAATGTGCAAATAAAAAATTGAAATGTAACAGTCCGTTCCCTCAAGGAGCTTATGTTGTACTGAGGGAATACAATAGGTACATAATTCAGTAATTACAAGATAACTTGAGGAGAGATCTCTAATACCTTAAGCTCCTTGAGGTGTGTGTCTTAGCTAAACTTATACGGTCCCCATCTTCCAGCACAGTGTTCTGTAGGCGTTTGGGAAATATTTAATGGTCAGGCCCCTTCAGGCTCTGCTTTTCTTCTTTGAATGTTGTGTTCCGTGTGACCAGAGAGTGTTTTGTCTGCTGTATTTGTATCCCCAGTGCTTAGTGCCGTGCGTGGCGTGCAGTAGGCACTCACTGAATGCTTTTTGATTCCCTCTGATTTTGTCCCTCTTTGCACGGCTTTGGCTGATGATTCGTTGGTCCCAGTGAGCTTGCTGTCTAATGAGACTAGAGCGTTGCATTGTTGGATGGCTCTTATTGTCAGAAAGTGCTTTTCCTCACGATGAGCCAAATTCTGCCAGCCTCTAACCTCTAGACATTATTTCTTGTATAAAGGAGATTGAGGACATGATGGAAATGTACTTGGTGACAAGCCTTGAAAGTGTTTAGATCTGTAGTGGTAGAGCGACTCACGCTAGAAAAGGTATATAGGCCTTTCCAGATTCCAGCATTGGCTTGACAGGAATGAAGGAGTTTGTAGGTGTTTGTGGCTTGTATTGGGTCTCAAAAGAGGCATAAAAACTGTGAAAGCAATTGTCATCCTGCTGTGTACAGAAACCCCCTGCAGGGAGTGGGGTTGGCCCCTTAGAGCATCAGTTAACACTTTCATGTCAGCATCGGTGTTGAATGCATGGTCAGGTTGCCTTATGTCACTAGTAAACTTCACAGCAACCCCAAGGCTTCACCAGTCGCGGGATGTTTTCAAGAAAGGATTTCATTCCTTTACATGCCTTTGACTCTAGTTAACTTTGTTTGGTCAAAACATTGTGGCAGTATGCCCCCGGGTAAAGAGTTTGACTTGTTTTGAAGGTGGTTGGCTTTACTCTCTTTAGGATGGTGGTACGTTGAACAGTTTATACATGCTAGGTACTCATCTAGAAGTTTTAACGCTTTATCCCTGCTCATGAAGAACTATTTAGGGAACAGGAAATTACATGAGTCACTGTGTGGCTATGTTATAAGGTGCTTATTTGTGTGGTATGGTTATAGAACAGGAGTTTTAGACTGCCACCCTTTTTGGGGGCATCATGGGCTCCTTGCGTCAGTCTGGTGAAGTCTGTGGATACCTCAGAATAATTTTAAAAAATTCAGAAATTGAAGGAAATTCTAAATTTCAGTTAGAATTGAGTGAAAGTATCGTTGTTGTTGTTCTCCCCTCCTCCATCACAACATCACAGTTCAGGGATTCCTTATCATGGACTCAGGGTTATGAGCCCTTGCCATCAGAAATTCTGAAAGCTAGAGTAGGTATTGAAGGATCTGGAGGATTTGGATAGGCAGATGGGGAAGAGCATTCCACGTGAGAGGTTAACAACTTAAGTAGAAGCAAAGGTAAAAATGAATGGGATTTTACTATAAGTGATGCTCCTATCGCCCCACCGCCCCGCCTTAGCCTGAGTAGTTGCTATTATCTAGCGCATACATGAGGCTTGAGGAAAAGTATAAATCATTTAACAGTCCAAGTTTATCTTCTGTTTTTCTTTAAAACCAGCACGGTCAGTGGGTGAAGTGAATGGGCACAGGGAACAGAGTTGAACTTTCTGTCCCAGCATTTCTTCCAAGTAATGGCCTGGATAAATATGAAAGAGGCATCTTCTAGTGCAGTGAGTTGTGTTTATAGTTAACAAAAATATGGGCTCACCTCAAATTCTCTCCATTTAGTCCAGCTTTCTTAAAACACGTGATAGCATAATCTGTTGCCACACAAGAGCATATTCTCTTGCTAAAATGGATATTGTTTCCCAGATATGGGTTGGACTAGATGATTGTTGGGGTTCCTTCTGATTCTTCAAGGAGTGATACCAAAAGGGTGGTTGTTTTTGTTTGAAATACTGTGGTACCCGCTTTGCTTTTTAAGCCCTGGATGACCTTGTCCAAGTTAATTTACCACTTTGAGCCTCCCCTTTGATTATCCCTAAAATGGAGATGATGCTACTTGGGGCTACCTACCTCACAGTTACTATGAAGCACCATTTCAGAGCAGTAAAATGGTGCATGAATTTTTTTTTTTGGGGGGGGGTTGGTGCCTTGGACCTCCTTGCTATCTGTTTAGCCTCAGTGGAAACTGCTTTCCTCTGTTTGTTTGATGCCCTTTGGTTCAGTGGTGGGAAGATTTTCATGCGCCCTGTAACATCTTGTATGCATCCTTGTAATAAAGTAACATCTCTTTTTTCTTTCTTTACAGGAAAAGGGGCATAGAAGTTGTGCAGGTGAGTAAAGATTGTACTATGATTGATCTCTATTATAAAATCAGCCTCCTAGGTCTAACCTCTTTCCCCTTTATCCTGGGAAATGATTAGACTGTCTTTTGGGGGGTCACCTCCCTATTCCTCTTTTTCTCCCAAAGTATACTCCCCCCACCCCAATTCCTGTCAGCCTCTTAACCTTGGCACTGATTTTGAAGAGGCAAGTAAGGTGGCCTTTATGGGCATGGGAAAGAACTGCAGCATCCTTTTGGTTAAGAAGTTATTCCAAGGTTTTGACTTCTTTGCCTTCAGTGTTCTGGAAAGGTTTCTGATCTTGTCCTTTTGGGGAGAAGGGAGAAGGGTTTGGTATATCAGTTTGTAAAGGAAGAGATGCCTAGATTGAATTTAGGTGACTGAGTAGGAGGTAAGGGATAGAGCGAGGTCATGCATCTCTTTGGACTGTGATATTCTGGTTTTGGAGTGACATGATCTATCATATTTATTTGAGGCTATTTCTTTAATTTTCATCATTAAGGAGCTGTCAGATATCTGATTAGCTAAAGAATTTCTTGATACTGTGGATAGAGAGGACCACATGTTTGACATATCAGTAGGTGGCCTGTTTGCTTGAGAGTGAACCTGGTTTAGTAATGATCTTGGTCTGAAGAAATTTAGGGTGGTGGTTCCTAAATTCAGTTTTGGAAGATAAACAGTCATTTATTTCTAAGGCAAGGAAGGGATGGGATAAACTGGAGAAACAGCGATGTCCAATTCAAACCCAAAGAGAAACTTTAATAAATAGAATAGTGGTCAGAGACCAAATGATTTCTTGTACATGCATTACAAATGACTTTATTCTGGTATATTATTTTGAAATTCTTTTTTCTCTTGCTGTTAAAACCATAGAACATACTCTTATGGTCTGGAGTATTTATAGTGAAGTCAAAGGGAGAGCAGAGAAAGGAAAGGATGCTTAGGAAGTGGTGGCTGCAGAAACAATGGGATTATTTAGAGTTCAGGTGTGGCAAATCTCTGCTCTCCAGGATCTGATTTACCCCAGGGAAGAGAAAGGCCCAGGAGGCTTAGTGCTTCTGGATGTGATCCAGAAATCTAGGAAAAGTGGTACAAGCTACGAGCCTTGGGATCAAATTAGAGTCATCTGGATGTGTCCAGGAGAAGGAATGGTTTCCTTAGGAGCCTGAGGGCTAGTGAAGTCTAAGGCACATGCCTAGAATGCTCTTCCTCCTCATTTCTGCCCACTTCCCTGCTTTAATTTTATGGCCATCTGTCTTTTAACATTTTTTTCTTGTTATACGTGTAACTTATTTGTATGTATTTGTTTGTATGTTATCTCCTCCATTATTTTTTACACTCCTTGAGAGCAGGGACTATCTTTTGCCTCTTTCTGTAACCTTGGAGCTTAGCACAGTGACTGATACATAGTAGTTGCTTAATAAATGTTTATGGATTCATCAGTAATTTTATATTTATTTACTATTATTTTTTCATCCATTTGACTTGTATATTCCTTACAGAGCTACCACCAACCATAGTGGGGGGAGGAAGGAGGATGTGTCGGTAGCAGCCAGTCTTTGTGCCATCTTGGCAAGACTCTAGATCAGAACCTTTGTTTTAGTGGGGTCCCAGAAATACTTAGATAGCACATAAAAATTTAAGTAACTAGAGGTAAGAATAGTTGAAGTTCCTAAAACAGTGGATTGAGTTCCATCATGGTGGCCCTAAACAAGGCAGTCTTGGTTTGTCTACACCCTTTCAATGCTGACTTTCACATAGTGTCTGTCAGTGACACGTCATAGAACATGATTTATAATAAGTCTTTTTTTTAGGCGGTTGGGGTTAAGTGACTTGCCCCAGGGTCACAGTGCTAGTAAGTGTCAAGTGTTTGGTCTGAGGCCGGATTTGAACTCCAGTCCTCCTGACTGCAGGGCTGGCGCTCTATCCACTGCACCACCTAGCTGCCCCTTATAGTAAGTAAGGTAGGTTAGGGACAGTTTGTATAGGGCTCTAAGTGCCAAACAAAGGATGATTTGGCCTTGAATTGGTGGAAGACGTTTACCTTGAAAAAGAGATATTATTTCATTGTGGTGACCAGCTGATACAGTGCAGTTTCCAGGAGAAAGTTCTGTTGTGAGCTGCCTCAAAAGAGGTCCATTCCTAATCTCATCAATTAGCAAGCCACTTGAAAGAGAAGAATACACAGACCCACATTTCCTCATTCCTGTTTATATAACATCTGAAACTGTAACACCTCCTTCTGGAGGTGCCCTAGGTTGGTATCTCCTTTAGCCTCCCTCTTTTTATATTCCACATCCAAGTTCCTGTTTACACAACATCTTAAACCATAGTGGCAACTCACCAGCTTCAGGTTGTTCTTTCCCCTCCCTCCCCCATTGTAAATATGGTAAGGCTTGAACCATCTGATGATAGTACACAGAAACTAGCAATTGAATGGAGTTTTTCAGGTTGTCTTCATAGGATCCTAGATGGAGAGCTGGAAGGCCCCTGAGAAGCTCCATCCCAGAAGAGAAGGTTTGCTGTTGCTTTTCCTTGGTCAGGCCTGGGAGCAGAAAGGCTTCCAATTGTGCCCTTAACTATAACAACAGAAATAAAAGCAGTGAGGAGACTTTTACTATGTTGGGAGTCTTTTTAAAAACATATACATGTGACTGTCTGTGGTGGAAATAAAAACTCAGTGAGTAAAAAAGAAACACAGAATGTAAATCAGCCAAATAAAGATGCTGATTGTGTTTTTTGGTGGCCTGAGCTCAGTGAATTACTTTTAACAGTAAATCCTATGAATGTATGTTGGTATATGAGTGAGTGTTTGTATATGTGTGGGGGGGTGTTGGGGGATGCAGGGGTGTTTGCCTTGAGGCACACTATTAATCTTTATTATTCAGGGCCTGGAAATCTAGTGCATAGATTATTCAGGCCCTCATTTTTATTTTTCTTATTCCCCCCCCGCCGCCTTTTTTGACTATCTCTGTAATTTTATTGGTTTATTTTGATTTATCAACAATCACTTCCCTATGCTTTTGAGTTTAAAAATTTTCTCCCCCTCCTTCCCCACCACCTTCCCCAAGACGGCACACAATCTCATATAGGCTATACATTTACATTCCTATTAAACATATTTTCACATTAGTGAAGTTGTAAGTAAAAATTAAAACCAATAGGAGGAACCATCAGAAAGATGAAACAAAACTCAACAGGAGAACTTCCACAGTTCTTTCTTTGGATGTGGACAGCATTTTCCATCCCGAGGCCTCTGGAGATGTCTTAGATCCTTGTAATGCTGAGAAGCGTTCAGTTTAACAATGTTAGTCATCATGTAACATGGCTGTTATTGTGTACAGAGTCCTCTTGGTTCTGCTCGCTTCACTCAGCATCAGATCATATAAATCTTTCCAGGTTTTTCTGAAGTCAGCCTGTTCATCATTTCTTATAGCACAATAGTATTCCATTACATTCCTATACCACAACTTGCTCAGCCATTCCCCAACGGATGGGCATCCTCTCAATTTCCAATTCTTTGCCACCACAAAAAGAGCTGCTATGAATATTTTTGTACATGTAGGTCCTTTTCCCATTTGTATGATCTCTTTGGGATATAGCCCTAGAAATGCTATTGCTGGATCAAAGGGTATGCACATTTTTGTAGCCCTTTGGGCATAGTTCCAAATTGTTCTCCAAAATGGCTGGATCATTTCACAACTCCACCAACAATGCATTAGTGTTCCAATTTTCCCACATCTTCTCCAACATTTATCATTTTCCTTTTGTCATGTTGGCCAATCTGATAGGTGTGATGTGGTACCTCAGAGTTGTTTTGATTTGCATTTCTCTAATCAACAGTGATTTAGAGCATTTTTTCGTATGACTATAGATGGCTTTAATTTCTTCATCTGAGAACTGTCTGTTCATATCCTTTGACCATTTATCAATTGGGGAATGGCTTGTGTTCTTATAAATTTGTCTTAATTCTCTATATATTTTAGAAATGAGGCCTTTATCAGAGAGACTGGTTGTAAAAATTCTTTCCCAATTTTTTACCTTCCTTCTAATCTTAGTTGCATTGGCTTTGTGCAAAAACTTTTCAATTTAATGTAATCAAAATGATCCATTTTGCTTTTCATAATGTTCTCTATCTCCTGTTTGGTATGAATTCTTCTGTTCTCCATAGATCTGAGAGGTAAACTATTCCTTGTTCTCCCACTTTGCTTATAGTATCAGCCTTTATATCTAAGTTATGAACCCATTTTGACTTTATTTTGGTATGTGGTGTGAGATTTGGGTCTATGCCTAGTTTCTGCCATACTCTTTTCCACTTTTCCCAGCAGTCCAATTATTTCCTAAATAATTGGAAAAATGTCAGTTGCTCATGGGTAGGCCAAGCTAATATAATAAAAATGACAATCCTACCTAAGCTAATTTACTTATTCAGTGCCATACCAAACTACCTAAAAATTATTTTATAGAGTTTGAAAAAATAATAACAAGATTCATTTGGAAGAACAAAAGATCCAGAATATCAAAGGAATTAATGAAAAGAAATGCAACGGAAGGTGGCCTAACAATTCCAGATCTTAAATTGTGTTATAAAGCAGCAATCATCAAAACTGCTTGGTACTGGCTAAGAAATAGAGTGTTGCATCAGTGGAATAGGTTAAATATGCAAGACACAGTAGTTAATGACTATAGTAATCTGTTATTTGATAAACCCAAAGACCCCAGCTTCTGGGATAAGAATCCACCCAGATAGGATAGTTTGGAAAAGAGGTATTATTTCCTCATGATAAGCATCAGATTTACTGCAGTTTCCAGGAACATATTCTGTTGTGAGCTGCCTTGAAGAAAGTCCACTCATATTCTTGTCACTAAAGAGTCATCTCGAAAGAGAAAATACAAACTCACATACCTGCATTCCTGTTTACACAACATCTGAAACCGTAACACTGAGACTTCAGGAGGTTCTCAGTGTTGATATTCCCTTCAACTCTTCT